CCCCCCCCTTCATGAACAACAACCCTCACCTCACACACAGCAACTCCTACTGTACGCCGGGCGACAAGTCAGCCACCTCAAAGACCCACCACCACTCTCCGTCTTTCATCTCAGCGTCGCAAGTGTCGCAGTCAACTCAGAACCTCGTCCAACCCCTCCCGCTCACCTCTCCTCGCCCCTCACACCAGCCTCTCAATCTTCCCTTAATGCATCGCGCGCGTCTAGAGGACCACGAAGCATGCATCATACACACCCTAACACAGACGCTAGCTAGACTTGAAACATGCAGACAACTTGCGTATAGTTCCATACCTCTCTATTGTCAAGCTACAAAATAGGGAGGGCCTCACTTCGACCCACGTCGCCAGCTCGTCTCCAAATCCGCCTTGCTAACCCCCTGCTGCACAGTCCCACCTCCCACAACACCATTCCTTCCGTTGCCGTATCCGTTTCCACCCGCAGTAGACTTGGCATCCTGTACCGACTCGATCGGCGTGGACGAGGCATTCAGCGCAGCGGCATACGCATCGTTGCCCACACCCGGCGCCCTACGAACCCTGCCATTCGGCATGTCCATACTCGAGGCGCTACCAGTGCGTCCCGGACCAAAGTCGAACGCGTTGCCCGGCGCACGACCCACAGGCGCTGGCAAATTCGCCGGCATCTGATGCCCCGACGCCGGGCGAGCAAACTTGTTCGTGCTCGAGTGTCCGGCCGGCGACGTCCCGAACGGCGACCCGCTGCGCTCCGAACCGCCGCCAATGTTGAGCGCCGCAACATTCGGGAAGCCCTGATTGGGACGTGCAATGAAAGATGGCCCGATCGATCCGGAAGCGCCTCGCAGCGGTGGAATCACATTGCGCGACCCACTGCCATCATATCCACTTGACAAGGTTCCGGCAGAAGCAGATAGCTGGTCCATAGAGGCGCCGCCGTCGGACAGTGCGCCATAAGTGGCGGCCGACACGCGGTAGCTAGGTCGATGGCGACGCGGCACCTTACCGTCCTTCACCTTCTCCTGCGGATTACCATGCATCTTGGAACCCACACCCTGCTTGCGCTCGTAGTGGCGCTGCCACCCCTCGTGCTCAAACAGCGGTTGCGCTGGGTACCCGTCGATCGTCACATCCATCTTGGTTGTCTTGAGACCGTAGCGTCTGCGCTCTTCGGCCGATAGCAGCCACGGCGTGTGCACGTAGTCGACGTGCAAATTGCGCAGCGCCGGGATCCACATCTTGACATAGTCGCCGTGCGAATCGTAGTCCTTGGCCTGCTTGACCGTGTTGAACTGCCGAGAGGCACGCGGATCGTTGCCGACACCGGCGACGTACTGCCAATTGCCGTAGTTGGACGTCGGGTCGTAGTCGATGAGGTGCGACTGGAAGAATTCGGCGCCGATACGCCAGTCGTACCCGAGATCCTTTGACAAGAAACTGGCTACGTTCTGACGACCTCGGTTCGACATGAAACCCGACTCTCGGAGCTCGAGGATGTTGGCATCGATAAAAGGGATGCCAGTGCGGCCTTCGAGCAGACGCGTCATCTCGTGCTCGGGCCCATCCTTGATCGGGTCCCACTTGCGCCACCAGCCCTCTTCCATCTTTCTGGCGGCCTGACGCGGGTCAGTGGCGCGCTCGAAGCCGCCAAGATCGTAGAGCAGATGACCGTACTTCTCGGCGACGAAGAAAAAGTAATCTCGCCAGAGCAGCTCGAATCGGACCCAGTAGGTGTTCTGATCCTCGCCAAACTTCTTCTCGTGGTCGTCCAACGCTTCCCAGATCTGTCGAGGCGAGATGCTTCCGTAGGCGAGGAAAGGCGACATCTTGGTGCTGTAGGCGTGACCGATGAGATTGTTACGCGTCTGCTTGTACCGCGCTACGGGCGGTGGATCGGCTTTGCCCCATCGCGTCGAGTCGGCCGATTTGCCACGCACAAAGTACCAGTCGAGTCTGTCCAAGGCTGAAGACTCGCCACCGCGCAGCGGGAAGGCGGAGCCAGGATGACGTTGTTGGAGAAGCGCGCTGGCTTCTAGTGTTGGCGGAAGTTGCGAGTCGTTGAGTGGAGTGAGGAGGAAGCGGAGAATGTCGTGGAAGGAGACCTGACCCTCTTGCTTGTCCTTGGTCTCGGGAGCACGAGGCGCGAGGCCATCGACATCGACCTCGTACGATACGTCGAGGGCATAGTCGGGAGTGGAAGGAATTGCCGGAGGGAATGCCTTGAACTTGGCAGGAGAGTGCTTGACAGGACGGACCATCTTTGTGCCTAGCGCCTCGACTTTTTTACGGAAGGGGGTAAAGACATCGGGTGTCTCGCTGCTTTCGAAGGGGAGATCGGATGGGTGGATGAGGGTCTTGCCGTTGACAAACTGGACAGGGACGCCACTGCCCTGCAGCTTTTCGATAATGTTGTTCTCGACATCGATCTCGGGGTAGGTCATCTCCTTTTGAAGCCAGACACCTTCGACGTGGGTGCCCTCGGCCTGGAAAGCATGTACAAGGTTGTAGATGACCTCTTCTGGTGTACCGAATCGGATGAGCAAGTCGGAGCCGACGGATCGCAGGCGGGATCGTACGTCGTAGACTGATTCTGAGACGAAACGGGTGCGGAAGCCACCGGTCTTCCAGAAGCCGTACTCTTTGGTGCGCGCCTCGGGACCTTTCCTGTGGTAGCCGGGCAGACCGCTGAGCTCCATCTCTCGCTCGTCGAAGACAAAGACAGGGAGAAGGTAGTCAGCAGTGGAACCCAAGAGAGCCTCGTCTTCGAGTTTGCTTAGGTCGACTGTCTTTTCGGCTGACGATACAATGGGCTTGTGAGTCTGATGGGCATAGTAGAAAAGGGGATTGTCGTGAATGCGCAAGTCGAGTCGAAGCAAGCAGATGAGGACGCTTGGAGCGCCGGCTTCGGAGTCTAGTGTGGTCGAAGTGCCGCCATGCGAGGCGCTTGGCGATGTGGAAGAGCTGGAGCCTTCCATGGTTGCGGTCTACGAGGTTATGCGTGGAATGTGGGTCAGAACACGATATGCTGGCCTCCTTCAAAGATGTGGCAAAAGGCTGGAGAAGAAAGTGGGGGAGAATGGTGGGCGGCACAAAGAGGTTGGTGGGTTCGATGAAAAGTATTGCAAGCCGAGCCTGAACGAGAAGCTGAGTGGAGATACACCAGGTTGCCAGAGGAGAGCCAGAGATCGATATAGACCGGCGCGGAGGAACGATGCTATTGCTCTTCGACGCTCTGATGATTTGAGCGAGGGAGGCCGGCAGTTGGGTCGTCGATCTCGTCGGCTAAATCGTTGGATGATCTACTGGCGGTTTGAGCCTTGGTGAAGATGCGTCTATGGCAGCGAGAGTTTGAGAAGGGTCCTATGTTGTGTGAGAGCATATGCAAGTCGCAAGTATGATTACTGTATGAAAGAGGAGTGAATATTGGTTGAAAATGGTGCTGCTGGCGCTGTGTCGAAAGGAATATGCACAGAAAGGTGGCGACGGATGAGCGGGTGAGCAGAGAAAGAACTGCGACAGCACAGGAACGCCAGAGCGTAGTCAAAGTGAGATATGTGGTGGTGAATCGCGATGGCGACGAGAGAGAAGGAGGCGGACGGTGAGGACGAGGGCTGAAGCAAGTCGTCTGGAATGCCCGAGTGAAAGCGGCTGCAGAGCGCAGCGCAGCAGCACCAGCAGCCACAGCAGCGTGAGTAACGTCAATTTTTATTCTGGCTGGCCAGAGGCACAAGAGCGCGACCAGAGTGCCAACGGCAGCTCGACAACAGTGCAGAGCTGACAAGTGAAGGGCTTGAAGATCGCGTAGTTTTGCACGGCTGACTGTCCCACAATGTTAGACCATCTTCTTTCGATGGACCGGAGAAAAAGGTGAGATCGGAACTGCATTTGGGAGGGAAAATAAAGCTCGTTTTCGCTGCACGTCTATGCAATCCGATCGACCACGCTCATCGGCATCAGCAGACCGTCGCTGCTCGACCACCTCAACTTCTCGATCTCCAACGAATGACACCTCTGAACAGCATCTTCGAACGACATGAAAAGAACATCATCAGGTCTGCGTGAGAGAAAGTAGAGCGGAACGATCATGTGACGGTATCACTGTCGCAATGGACACCGAGCCGTACGTTGTGGTGTGGTATAGTGTAGTCATTTTCCTGCTTCCAGATGCCGTTCACTGAATTGGTGATCGAATTGGTTCTTCTGATTCTGGCAAGGAGCTGCAACCGTGGGCGCCGCCGTGTTTTTCCACCGTCCGACTTTGTTGCTCGGAACAGTCTGCAGGTCCGAGACGATTGCCACGGAGTCCGAGTCGGAAACGGTGCAGAGTGTACATGCCAACGTTTTAATCACATCGGAAGAGGCGTTCCCTAATTCTGCAATGACACAAGACAATAGAGAGAGACCAATGACGCTGGCAAGCAGAAAAGATGACAAATGCCAGTATCTTTGGTTCCAGAAATTTGGTAACGGTATGTGGCGCTTTTGTATCAAGATCAAGGCTTTGTATTCACTGCGGCTGGATCTGATCCGAAAACCCGGTTAAACGTATGTTGAACGAATGTTAGTTCCCCAGCGGCTGTACCGCAACACCCACTACTGTAGCCAGCGACAAGATCCGTTGCAGCCCAGGTAGGCGTCGAGCCACCGTCACACACTCACTCGCAACATGACTTTGCAACGACACACATGCTCCATACGTACTGCACACCTTGTTCGGATAGTCAATGCTTGTGTGAATTAGATCGAATGACATTCTTGTAGAGAGTATCAAGGAGAAACACCGAAGCTCATCTTGATACCCATCGCCGCCAGTTCCGCTACCAGGTACTTGAGCACGTACGGCACCGCGACCACGTCCAGGTCGCCTCCGGTCAAGCTGTTGATCACGTTGCTCTGCGGGATTCCGATGGTAGCCTCCACTCCGCCGATGGGTTGCCTCTTGCCGCGCAATGGCTCGAGTCCCTGTTGACGACGCACCTCGTCCTCCGCTCTGCAGACGCGGCAGAACTCTCCGTTGGGTCCCAAGATCGGTGTGGTGCCCTGCGTCGACATATCGATCGTCGAGATCGAACCACCGTGACCGCTGGACGTCGACGTATCGAAGCCTACCGAGAGCAACGATCCACACGTTCGGCAAACGTACGACGTCGAGTAGTCCGAACAGTTCATCAATCGATCCTGAAGCATGTACGACGTTCCGTGCGCCAGCAGCGCATCACGCTCCATCTCTCCGAATCGAATACCACCTGCGCGCTTCCTACCCTTGATCGGCTGACGCGTCAGTGCGTGCACAGGTCCCGTGGTACGCACCTGGAACTTGTCGTTGACCATGTGACGCAGACGCTGGTAGTACACCACTCCGAGATAGATGTCGGCGCGCAGCTCCTGACCCGTGATACCCGAGTACATGGGTTCGTTGCCCACGTGGTTGTAGCCCGCAGCCTTGAGCTGCTCACCGAAGAACTCGGTAGGAGTGAAATCTTCGCTAAACGTGAACGGCGTCGAGTCTTGGGCGATGCCGTGCATGGCACCGGCTTTGCCTGCGATCGACTCGATCAGCATTCCGATCGTCATACGCGACGGGAAAGCGTGCGGGTTGATGATCACATCCGGCTGCATCCCGCTCTCAGAGAATGGCATGTCGACGGCGGGCCACTTTTGCGAACAGACACCCTTCTGTCCGTGACGCGAAGAGAACTTGTCGCCGATGACGGGCGAACGTGTGATGCGCAGCATAATCTGCACCTTCTGACACTCGCTGTCGCCTCCACCCGATCCAGCGTCGGAGCCGAGCAGACGCACGGTGTCGACGTACGCGTACTCGTCACCCTTGAACTTCTTGAACATGGTCTTGCCGCTCACCTCGTCCCAGTAGGCGCAAATCGGCTCGCCCGCCAGCACCTTCTGTCCCACGTACGGCAGACCATCCTGGTCGAGGATGGCACGCTGCGCTTCCGTGGGGCGCGAATTGGGCGCGAATCCAAAGTGAAGCGTCGGGACGCTCGAACTCGACTTGCCCTTCAGGTCGCGAAGATCGATTGTCTCCGACTTGTACACGGTGCCGTAACCGAAGCCGCGTTCGTGCGCGCTCTTGTTGAGGATCATGGCATCTTCCATGTCGTATCCCGTGTACGAAATGACAGCGACGATCGCGTTGGTTCCGTTGGGATAGTCGTCGAAACCATACTTGTTGTACAGCTCCGGTCGCACCACGGGCGTTTGGGGCGTTTGAATTCGGTACAGCTTGTTGTCCGTCCTCCTGCTCACTGCAGTCGAGGCGGTACCCATGGTCTGCTTCATCATCTGCGCCTGGTAACAGTTTCGTGGCGATTGGTTGTAGTCCGAGAACGGTGTGAGGTTGGCGAGCACCGAAAGGATCGAGGTGGGCGCCAGCTCGACGTGGCTCGACACGCCGGGCACGACTTCCTGCGGGTCGCAAGCAATGTCGAGGTAGACCTGCTCGAAGGGACCGACCATGTCGATCTTGTTGTTGTGCAGCAGTCGCACAGGACGCATCATGCGGGCGCGGTTGGAGAAGAGGTAGAGGCCGGGGTACTGTCCGGCGCGCGAAGTGGGCACGAACCCGATCTCGAGGTCGAGCGGGACGTGGTGCAAACCCTCGGTCTTCCAGATTCGAAGCGCCGTAGCCATATGCTTGGCGAGACCGGGTGTGGTGTAGCCAAGGATGGCACCGTCAAGCTGCACCACGACAATGTCCTTGCTGACGTTGGCGTTCTTCTGGCTGGCAGCGCCGACGGCGCCGACGGCGAAGGCGGCTTCGGTCATGCCGAGACCCGAGAGCAGCGCATGGATGTGTGAGACGTCAGGCTGGCGCGTCGTCATCCTGCACGTGTGCGAAAAGTGGTTGAGCAGACCGCATGGCGAGCCGTCTGGCGTGTGCACGGGACACAAGAAGCCCCAGGCTTCCGGAAGCAGCTTTCGCACCGAGGTGGTCTTGAGCTCGGCGAAGAAGGCACCTCGATGCACTGAACGGAAATGGGCGAGGTAACGCGCAAAGTTGAGCTTCTCGGCCATGATGGTGAAACCGGACGTCTGCTGTAGGTCGAGACCCGAGGGCGACGACAGGTTGCCCGTGGCGAGGAAGGAGGCGATCTTGACACCGATGTCGATGTTGACCTTGGAGACGGTCTTTTTGATGTATCTGGAATCGAAAAAGTCGACTCCTTTGACCTTCATTCGGACGTCGCGAGCGATCTGGGCGCGGACGTTGCTGACGGCCTCGTCGATGCGTTCCTTGATGATCTGGCCAACTAGGAAGCCGGGCATGAGGATCTCGTGGTGCTGCGAAGAATCGGCATTGTCGGCGCACGACTCGCCGGCGACGAGCGAGTAGAGCTTCTGGATCATGAAGATGAGCATCTTGTACTTTTCCCTGGGGCTGTCGAGGTGGACGAGGAGGATGCGGTTGATGAGCTCCGTACCGACCTGCGCGTCGGTGTAGTCTTCGGGACAGCCAAGGACGACGCGGAACTTGGAGCCGAGGTACTCGAGACACTGGTGTCCGGACCAGAGACTGTACTGCTTGAAGTTGCGGAGGAGCAGCTCGACACGGTCGGTGAGGAAGGTGTTTTCAAAGTCGCCCTGGACGATGGAAGCAAAGATCTCCTTGTCGGTGGCATCGACGAGCGCTTTGAGCACCATGACGACGGGTACCATGTATTCCTGCTTCCTCCAGCTGAAACGCATCGTGAGTCCACCGTTGTGGAGGTAGTGGACAGCATTGGTGACGCTGATGAGGTCCTCCTTGTGGAGACATCGGATGACGATGGCCTTGTTGGAGTAGCTTGGGCCACGCTTCTCGAAACTGGGTCTCTCGATCGCCTGTGCGCTGTTTGCCTTGGCGACGATGAGGTATCGGATCAAACGCTCGTTTCCGTTGACGAGGAAGTAGCCGCCAAACTCGTTGGCCTCCTCGTGGTGAGCGACAAGCTCTCTTGAGGACATGCCGCGCAGGTTGCATCGATTTGACCTCACGAGGACAGGGCAGTTGCCCAGCGTGACAATGTCGCTCTGCTCTGGGTCGCCGTTGACGCTCCAGCATATTCGTGCAGTGAGCTTGCCCGTGTAGGTGAAGAGCCTCTCCCTCGCCTCGGAGGGAAACACTCTGCGTTCGCGAACTCCCTTTGCACGCTCGTTGATGAGCGGCTTTGTGAGGTTGACGCTGTCCATACGGAGGGTGATGCGATTGCCGAGGCCATTGTTGGCATCTCCTTGTCCGTCAAAGACGATGCGTGGCGGCAAGCGGCGCAAGCTCTTCTCGAGCAGGCCGGTGCCTTCGTTGACGAAGCCAGAAACGGAAGCCAAGGCGGGCGGGTCCAGCGATGGGTCCTCCGCCCACAGCGCATTGAAGGACTCGATATTGGGTGCGACGAGTTCTGTGAGCTCGGGTGCAACGAAGCCATTGTCTGTGGGAGCAGAGTATCGCTCCTGACGTTCGAGGGGGAAGAAGGTGTGTCTTTTCTTCCAGAGCGGCTCCTCAGTGTCGATGCCAGCCTCCTGTCTTGCAGCCTTGAGAGCGTTGGGAAGCGAGTGCACGGTGTCTGGTGGAGTCGAAGGTCCGTCAAAGGACGAGCGTGAGCTCGACGAGCTGGCCGACGACATGGAGCTCGACATTGCGTTTCTGGACCGCTCTCGGACGATATGCCTTCGGAGCCTGAACAGCGGCTGGTACGAAGTAAGTAGTGATCTGGCGCTTCGTCAGCGTATATGGGCTGTTGATGATGTAGGTATGAAGTGATGAGCGTGTTCGACGCAGCCCGACCGGATGAGCTGATACGAGGTGCAGGGAGAGGACAAGACAGAACACAGCGAGCGACTCGAGCTTGTCAGGGTTTCGAGGTTAAGAAGACTGAGGCAGACGACAGCCCTTTTTTTCAGCTGAGCCAGAAAAAGGCGGACAACCTCAAATGCACGGTCTGCCAATCCACTTTCTCAGAAAAAAATTCTCAAATTTTTCCTCCAGCCACAGCCCAGTCTCCGCAATCCGGATCCACCGTCCTGTGAATGTTCAGTGGTGTTAGCTCGACATCACTAACACTTTTGGGCTTTTTATGCAGGTCCCAGCTTAGACAACGCTGTCGACAGAGATCTCCTGCCTCGAAGTGGAAGCATTGCAGGTAGCGATGACTTGTCCTTAGGAACGATGCTACATTAACGCAAGATACTGCACAGTGTACTGTCAATATGCTTTCCAATCCAAATACGGCCATTGCAGATCATACCTCCCAAGCTTTTGGCTGTCCATCGTCACGCGCGACACCTCTACGGTCCATTTCCAACGGATCGCAAGCCGCATCGGCTTGTCCGCCCGTGCCCGTGGCATGAGCATCTCTGAACTTTTCCAGCTCCGCGCCGAGGCTGATCTCTGCTTGCCCGCGCATCCAGCCATCTCTTGACTTCTTGAGTGCATTGAGGTCGCCTTGCTCGGCAGCCGACGCCACGCCGTTGGTGACGGCGATCGAATTGATCTCGCCACCAGGCAATCCCATCGACTTGCGCTTCCTCGCCTCTTCGCGCCGCCGACGATCAGCTTCTTCGGCCATCTTGCGGTGTCGTTCCACTTCCTCGAGGATGGCGCGTGCTCCCTTCTTGTGCGCAAGCTCGTGTGCAACGTGAATGCCGAGCTCGCGTGCATCTTCGACCGTCTTGCAATGCTTCGAAGCAGAGTAGCGCGACTCCTGGCTGCCGTCGAGCGACACGACAATGGCGTCGAGGTGCAGCGTACGTCCTTCCGTTGCAGGTGTAGAGCGGTCCACGATGCTGTACGAGGTCGACACAATCTTTTCGGCAATGGTCTGTGCATTCGTCGATGGCTCGGATACTTTGGATCGCGCTTTGGCGGCTTCCATCTCCTGGACGCCCGTAGCCAGCGATTCGAGCGGCGGTCGCTGTGGTGGCGACGAAAGGGTCTCGCCACCGCCAGAGAGCTGGCTGGCGGGGATGGTGTGTCCATCTCTGATCAGCGGCACGCCTCCGTTTGGCAGTTCCGCCTTGGCATCGGCATCGCCCTGTGTCACAAAGTCGTCCACAAGTGCAATGGCCTCACTGCGTTGACCCTCGATCTGGTCGTGGTCATCAAAGCGCGTCTCTACACCAACAGGAATCGAGCAGCCACCTTCGAGCTCTCGGAGCAAAGCACGCTCTGCTTCGGCTCGGAAAGTAGCGCGCCAGTCGCCGATCGAACGAATGAGCTCTCGAATACGTGCGTCCCTGTTGGTAGTTGGATCTGCACCTTCGGGTGGGGTGCGCACTTCGATCGCCAATGAGCCTTGACCGACCGAATGTAGCAGCACGGGCGAGCTGAGGAACGCAGTGATGCGTGCGTGCATGTTGAGTCGAATCAGACCGGCGGCAGCGAGGATTAGGGCTGTGTACGGACCGTTGGGTGCATCGAGCTTGGCGAGGCGAGTGTTAATGTTTCCGCGAACGTCGCTGAACACCAGATGAGGATATCTACGGCGCAATTGCGCCACTCGACGCACTGAAGAGGTGCCAATGACCGATCCGACTGGCAGCTCATCGAGAACCTTGTATGGCAGACCAGCCTTGACCACGAGAGCGTCGCGAGGATCTTCGCGCTCCAGCACGGCAGCGAGCTCGAGCCCGTTGGGCAACGCCGTTGGCACATCCTTGAGACAGTGCACAATGGCGTCGACACCGCCTTGTTCCAGTGCAACTTCGAGCTCCTTGGTCCAGATAGCCTTTCCCTCTCCTCCGATAACATACAGCGGCGATCGCAGATTCTGGTCACCGGCAGTCGACATCGATGTGATGGGGAAAGCGTGCGGACGTAGGGGCGCGTCGGACGTCGTCTGGAATCCCTGCAGCAGGTTGCGAAGAAACGCAACATCGTCATTTGAGTGCTCGTCGCCGACCTCTTGCAAACGAGCGGCCGACGTTGAAGGCTGTGATGAAGAAGCAGAGCCATCGCTGCCGGTGTCGGTGTTGGGTTCGAGTGCACTTGCCATTCGCTCCAACTGAGAGCGGAACAGCGGAGATGATCTTCCGAATCTTGCTTCGAGCATTGCGCTTACGTGGGAGCTCTGCACAAGCGCAAGCTGACTGTTACGGCTGGCGAGGACTAGCGTGCAACTAGGATCGAGGCCAAGCTGGCCTGCTCGGTCGGACGGCAATGGGTTGATGTTGGCCTCTTTGCGCTGCTGGTCGAGGATCTGAGCCTTGTTGAATTCATGAGCGGAAGCGCTATGAGTGACTGCCAGCTCGTGAAGAGATGGGAGCGTTGTCGTGGAGGAAAGCATGGAGGAGGATGTCGAGCGCGAAAGCGGAGGCGTCTGCGCGAGATCTTCTGGAGATCGATAGAAGATGCAGCGAGAGTCGGTAGGGGGGAACAAGGTTGAAGCTGGTGCATCCGGAACAGGCGGGTGACCAGGAGGAAGAGGATGCGACTTGGCATGTGGCACTGGGCAGGATGAACCGTCGCTCCAGGATGGCGCCGGCATTGGCTCATCCTCGACTTTGCGATGCGATGACGCAGGAGCGTCGGAATGAGAGTCTTGAGCAGGCGACATGGTGATCGGAGCTCTTGGAGTAGGGCAGTAACTGCGGATCCGAGGGGTCTGCTGCGAAGCCTCGCTTCAGTGTTGAGGGCCCTGAGGGGAAGGCAGTAGTTGACGTCGGGCTGAGAGGAGCGAAGGAAGGTGATGGTAGCGGTCCAATTCCGTCGGTGGCTTGAATAATGCCTCTTGTTTGGAGATACGAGCCTATCGGGAACTCGTGCCTTGTGTCCTGGTGGCTGGAAAAGTAGACGCCTCGGCCGCTGGATTAGAGCTGAATCTTGCTGGAAGCGCGAGAGCGTCGGTCGGTGTTGTTGTACGGTATGAACGTGAGTGCGGAGTTGCCGAAAACCGTAGCCACACGAGCTCGCCTCTTTTTTCGCATCGAAAACGCCGGCTCGAGCCGGTGGCCACTCATCGTCCACGCAGTCGCCTATTTCTAATCACGCAAGTTGAGGCATGTATTAGTCATGATGCTATAATTCCTAAGATCGGACCCTCGCGAAGAATTGAGATTTGGGAAATTTTGGCTTGACTTTTTTGAAGGGTGTGTGGAGCTTTGGCAAGACTCATTGTGACTTTTTACGCAGTTAGCTGCTTCATTCACCATCAATCACTATCCTTCGGATCAGCCTATCTGCGAATCAGCCTGCTCCAACACTTTCTATCAACCACAACTCACGGCTTGGCTGCGTGGGAAGCACCTGCATCGGAAGAAAGCGAGCAGCGGGGTTGAGACAGCATACTGCGCACGGCTCGGTGTAACCCGAGGCCATTCTTCAAGAGCGACTATGGCGCGCAAAAGGTCGAGGAACGACGGCAACGCTGTCCGAGCTGCCTCACCTTCCGATAGGGACGCACTTCCAGCCAAAGTAGTGCTGGGAGAGGACGCAAATGCCTTGCCTGGCAGCCGGAAGAAGCGTCCACCACCGCCGCCCGCCGATAACGAGCTCGATCTCGAGAAGCTCATCTTCGGCGGCTCCTCTTCTCTCCTGTCTCACCCTTCAACATCCAAGAGAACTACGGGCGAAGACGTTGTGCAGGACGACAGTGATGGCGAAGATGATACGGCATCTGCAGATGAAGGCGTAGCGGACGATGATCTTTTCATGGTCGATACCGCGGGCGGCGACGATGATGGGCAGCTCGACGATCAGCAAGGTGGTCTTGTATCCGGCTCACAACAGGGCAGTGACGAAGACGACTCGGACAACGAAGACATTCTCATCGATCAGATTGCCGCTGCCGGCTCTAGCACACCTGCCGTTAAGAAGCCAAAGCGCACAAAGAGGTGTGTTTGGACCGACCCAGACGACGAAGCGCTCAGCATCGACCTCACGCGCAACAACAACCTCGCAGCCAACGGATCTCGTGTCGGTGTCGCTCGCCTTCGGCGTCTACGGGAAGAGGTCGGCGAGAGCAAAATTAGCGGTCTCGAATATGAGCTGCGACTCCGAGCTCAGTTCGAAAAGCTTCATCCCCGACCCGGGTGGGCGTCGTTCCGACTCACATCGCTGTCTCAGCAACCAGATGATTCGGAGGAAGGGTATGGCGAGTCTGCCGTCATTATCAATGAGGACGTCAGCAAGGGTATCCACGATCTTCTTCGTAGCGACACGGGTTTGGTCGAAGGGTACGGCTCACGCGATCAGGACCTCGCCGGCAAATCTGTCAAGGCTCGCGGCAAGCTCAAAGCGGGTGAAATCGAGCTCGACCGTCTGCGCAACGCCAACGATGCCCAAAACGCAAACGCCATTGCGGCCGAAGAGTCGCTTCCAGGCATTGAGATGGTGCGCTTCCATCCTAGCCCTCGTGCGAGTGTCCTCATGACTGCATCGAAAGATCGTCGTGTGCGACTCTTCCAGATCGACGGCAAGTCCAACCCGCTCGTCCAGACGATTCACGTGCCTGACCTGCCGATCCAGCACGCTTCGTTCCACCCGTCCGGCTCGTCGGCGCTCATTTCGGGCAATCGCCCTTTCCTGTACGCCTACGACCTGCAAGCTGGGCGTGTCGTTCGATCCGTCCCGTGGCGTGGCGCTGGATCGCTCGCCTCGCAGTCATCTGCGGAGGACGACGGCAACGAGCTCAACTTGTCGGATGCCAAATTCCAACCGCACACTGCCGAGGAAGGCAACCGATTGCTGGCGATCGGTGGTAGACGCGGTGTCGTGCATCTGTTGGACTGGGGGCGCTCGGGGGCTGCCGGTGGAACGCGGATTGGCGGTGTCCGCATGAACTCCCCGCTCGCAGGATTCACGTGGGACGCTGCTTCGGTGTTGGGTGACAGAGGCACGGGCATCGGCGTCACGGGCACAGGCAAGGATGTCGAGCTGTTGACCATGTCCAGTGAAGGGAGTGTCCACTTGTGGGATATCAGGAACATGGGTCTTGAAGTCGGATGCAGTTCCATCTGGAACGACGCTGGCTCCTTCGGTGCTAAAGGACTGGAAGTTTCGCCCAACGGCAAGTTCTGGTCGGTCGGAAGCGACGGCGGTATCGTCAACGTCTACAAGCGTCCCGCCGACTCGTACTCGCCCACCACCAGCACCTCTGTCATCCCGTCGTCACGTGCCATCGACGCGGTGCTCGGAAAGGTCCCCGGTGGATCTATGGATCCAGTCAAGACGATCGAAAACCTCGTCACCACCACCACCACCATGCGATGGAACGGCGACGGACAGATTCTGGCTGTAGCATCCAAGCTCAAGAAGGACGCGTTGCGACTGGTGCACTTCCCGAGCATGAGGGTGTTTAGCAATTGGCCGACGTCCGGTACGCCGTTAGGTAGTGTGAGCTCGGTCGATTTCAGTCCTGCGAGCCAGTATGTGGCGATTGGAAATACGAGGGGTAAGGTGTTGTTGTATTCGTTGCGACATTATTTGTAGGTGGACGCACACAGTCAGTCAAATGCATTCTCTCAAATTTTTCGAATGTGTGATGGTATCTATGATGTTGCATTGGAGTTCCGATGTGATGAGAGAGAGAAGAAGCATTCCTAAGCGCTGACATGGAAGTACCTGACCTCGGCGACGATCACTGCTATCCCGATCGCTGTACTCGGTAGCACGACCACCGCGCACCACTTCAGGAACTGTCCTGCACCCACCCTTATCCCGCCCTGTTTCAACCCACCCAACCACAGCAACCCTGCCAAACTGGCGGCGAAAGTTCCACCCAACGCACCCACGTTCGAACCGAAGGCGATCGAGTACTGCGCCACTTTCTCTATAAGCTGTTGATCCCGCTGGGAGAGGTGGGAGATTCTCTCCGTGAAATACGGCGATCGAACGGATTTCGTCAGCAAGATGGTAGCACCGATGTTGGTACCACCGATGTTGCAGAGGACGATTCCCAGAAAGGAGATGAAGAAGGCGGTGGGGATGTAGCCGGAAGAGCAGACGGTTCCGAGACCGCGCGAGAGGATGTTGATGAAGCCGACGTGGGCGAGAGCTTGGACGAGGATGAACATGGAGAATGCGAAAGGGAGGAGGGGGAAGGGGAGGCGCGAGAGGACGATGGAGACGGTGGGAAAGACGGTGGTTAGGTGGGAGTGGAACGCGATCAGTCGACGAAGTGCGTTTCGACTGCGAGGAGATGCGGCGGGGATGGCGGTGGCTGACGAATCAGTGCGTTTGATATCCGACCCCGCAGCAGCAGCAGCACCATTACGATCACTCGTAGCGGCAGCAGAGGTAGATACGGCTACCGCTTCCATCTCAATCGCCTCCGATCCGTTCCCCACCACCGTCGCTTCCCTTGTAACCTCCTCCCTCGACTCCTTCCTCTTCTCCAACCGCAACTTCCTCCACCTCAACCAATCAGCCACCCCATCCCTCACAAAGCACAACACCGCTCCCGGCACCGCAATCTCAAACACCTTGACCCCGCCGATCACCGACGTCCCCACCAGCGTGGCTAGCGTGGCAGCCATGACGATGCTGCCGAAGATGGCGCCGGTCTTGTCGACGAGCGCGGCGCGCGGGTCTACGTCGGGACGGATGATGGTTTCGGGGATGTAGATGAGCGGATGGGTACGTTTGCCTTTGGACGATTTGTGGATGGGGATGGTGGAAGGGGTTTCCGAGTTTGGAGTTGTGCCTCCTGCCGCTGTTGGCGAGGTGGCAGTGTCAGGGACGGCCTCGCCGTTGTCGACGGGAGCAGTGGATCTCTGACGGATCTGACCGCTGCTCGATCGACCCTGCATCCTAGACCCGATCACGGGGACGCTCTCTACGAACTTCCTGATGGTCGACTTCCCTTCTTCCTCCCCCTCCTTCTCCCTCCCGCCACCCGACTCCTTATTCCTGAAGTAGATCAGCATCGCTCCCAACCCGCCCACCGCAGACGCAAAGGCCGGCAGCACCATGTACGCGGTGTACGTGATAAAGTCGACATCGAAACCCGTGGCAATCACCAGATTCGTCGGATTTGAACTGACCAACACGGCGGACGAGATGTTGGCTGCCACGAATTCGGCCCAGATCCAAGCGTCCGGTGGGCTGATCCCCGCCACCCTGGTGAAGTAGACCAAGAAAGCGGTTCCCGACAAAATCACTGGGTCGTTTCCGACGAGAACACCTGCTGACCAGAAGAAGAAGTACAGCAGAAGGTAGAGCGTTTTGCCTTTTGCTTCGCGTCCCTGGCGACCGGCTTTGAGACAGATGAGGAAGGCGAGATAGCGAAGCAGACCTGTGGCGTCCAAGCTGATGGCGATGTAGGCGAGCGAGATGAAGAGCGCGAGGACGTCGTACGGCTCGATACCGTCTTCTCCGACGATGCCTTGCTTCACCTGTTCTCCACCGATGGTCGTGGTGGCCAGCAGCACTAGAACACCGATGACGGGGGCAGAGACGTGATCGATGGTGATGTACATCGATTTCGAGTGAGCATCATCGGGATTGCGCGTGTCAAGCTCGGCTTCGACGGCATCTTGTTCCTGCTGGTCGACGTCGGGTGGTCCTGCGAGCGCGAGCCAGAGTTTGCGACTGGTACTGCGGATAAGTTTGGCGATGGGAGCGGGGATGCGAATTCGTATGGGATGGATGACTATGAGCGAGACGATGGCGAAGACGATGATGGCAAAGATGCCGAAGCCATTGAGCGAGGTTCGCGTGGTATCGACTGTGACTTGGCCAGCCTCTGCGCGTCTGTCGAATAGGATGGGATCGTCCATCTTGATCGATTGCGCGACCGCACTATAGGACGGAGCAGACGCTTCGACCGTGTAAGTAGGAAGGGAAGGACACGAAGGATCGGATCGGATCAATGTGATGGCATTGCGTCAGGAGTGCGACTGCATCGCTGTGGAAGAAGTTTCTAGAGGATGAGAGCAGTGAAGGATGGTCGAGATCCACGTGCGAGAATGCACGAGTTGACCGGCGGTTGGCACTTTTTTTAACATTTTTGCTCGACGGGCTGTGCACTTTGATTTGACCGACAGCCGCATCACTACGCTTCAAGGGACTGCTCGCCGTTTGGATCTGTACGCCCTTGAAGAGGGATGCTACGACGAGCTGCACCCCTGATCGCAGTCAGAGGTAGTGCACACCCATCTGCAACACGAACGCTCCCGCCACGTAGCACGCTCGATGGTGCTGCGCAGCACGTCCGATGCGCATCATCGAAACGAGGCGGCTCTTCCAGCCGTTACATGCAACGTCAGAAGGCCGACGTCTACGTCAAGCAGCGCACTCAGCCCAAGAGCCTCAACAAGCAGGCCTCCATCCAGGATGATCATGTCACGGCAGCTCCAAGTGGATACGTGGCACGATCAGCGTTCAAATTGTTGCAGCTGGATGATCGGTACAAGTTCCTGCGGCCAGGACGTGTGATTGTAGATCTGGGCGCTGCTCCAGGCGGATGGAGTCAAGCCATAGTCGAGCGTACCCGAAGTAGGACGGCGGGCAAAGTGTTTGCTCTGGATCTGCTGCCGGTGGTCGGCATCGAGGGCGTCACTTCGATCCAGGGCGACTTTCTCGATGTAGAAACGCAAGAAAGGCTCCGACGCATGGCGGCAGATGCAGCGCTAGGCAGTGTTGACGAGAACGATGCCGACAAGCAGTCTGAGGGCTTTGTCGATGTCGTCGTCAGCGACATGATGGGTGAGTGCACATGATCATCAGCTAGTGACAGGGTTGTTCAGCTGACTGACTGAAGAGCTGGGTGATTTGACCTTGCAGCAAACACAACCGGCAATCCCATCACAGATACAGAGGCGTCATTAGAGCTCTGTCGAGCAGCAACTGTAAGTCGAGGATCCGGCTTCAATCGCTCTGTCAAACTGATCAGGCGGGCAAGACGTTGACAACTTTCCCCGCTCATCTTACATCACAGGACTTTGCGTTACGCACTCTCAAACGTGACCACCACCTGCTGCAAAGTCAAGAGCGCAAGTCTCCCATCTCGCTCGCCTCGAAGTCGAGTGTGCTGGTGATGAAGTACTTCATGTCGCACGAAGCGGATTCGTTCCGCAAGCAGGTGCTCAAGAAGCACTTCCACTTTGTCAAGGCGGAGAAGATGGAGGCGAGCCGCAAAGAGTCCAGGGAACAGTTCTGGATCTGTATCGGTTTCAAAGGTCGTCAGTCAATGTGAACAATATGACGATTGAAAAGATGCTAAGAGCATTTCGTGGAGGCTTGTGAGAGCCTGAATGATGACGGCTCACAAGCTTGAACGGCGAATTCAGTCTGGACCCTGCGTCTGATTTTGTTCCAGCCGCTATGCCAGAGAGGAGCGCGCGTGCCAAAGTTGAGCGTGTTGGTCTCGGCGACGCTTTCAAACGAAAAGGGGCTGGCTATGCGAGCTTCTTATCACGCTGCCTCTGCACATGCGCACCATCATCATCCCGAACTCGTACGCATCTAATAACGACCCTCGCAACCCCGCCTCTGGCTATGCATACATCATAGTGAGCGTTCAGCAGAGCTCCCTGCATCTTCGACCCACCTCATTCAGACACCCGCAAGACTCACTCAGCATGTCGTCCACCACGCAATCATCACCTCCTCGAGCCGGCTCTTACATCCTTGTCTCATCCACAGCGAATCTCGATGAGCCCGAAACCATACCTGGAGAGGTTCCACGATCGTCTAGCTCCAGACCTCGGCTCTTCTTCCTCTTACCGCTGGTCGCTGCTCTCGATGTCGCAACCGCTCTCACTCTCGGCATCCTCGTTCTGACGCAGCTGTCCAGACACGATGAACCGGCAATGCGCATTATGAGCAAGGTGTCGCACCACGATCCCTTGTTGACACTCTCGTCACTCGATCCTGAGAATAGCAAATCGGGCAATGCGGCGTGGGAGCGTCGCAAGATTGTCGTGCTCGTCATGGCTTTTTCCGTCGCGCGTGCGTGCGCGTATGCGATTGTGGGTTTCAGCAAACGCATTCGCCAGCTCGGTGTGACGGTCGCCGCCATCAGCATCCTGAGCACCCTCTTCTACGTTTCCGTTGCAAACCTGCTCTTCCAGGCGAGACCGAAGCCAGGTGTACTGGACACGCCTAACCTCTCCTGGTCCAGCATCTTTGCGTCGGACACGTGGCGCTGGCCCGACGCATTCCGACATTTTGAGCCAACGATGCCCATCCTCGTCGGTGCTCAGATGGCTTTCACGTTGCTCGAATGGATTCTGTACATCGCCATCGTCGGCGTCAAGGTTCCACCGGGCGGCAATCCGGTGCAAGCGAAACGCTGGGCGAGGGATTTGGCGCAAGATCCGCAGTTTCGGCGCGGAGTCGATGCGCAGAGCCTCTACCCTTCGGACGATGGTCAGGAGGCAACAGCTGCCGAGACTGAGCACAGCGCGGGGGGCTCGCACACGCAGACTGAAGCCAACATGGAACAAGGTAGAGCGCAGCTTTCCTCGCCCATCTCGAATCCTTCTCGTGGAGGTCAAGCGGACGGCAGCGAACAGCCTCTGCTAGGTGCGAGCCCTACGACCCCCCGTGGGTATGGCAGTATCCTTACCGAACAAATGACGCCCCAGGCGCAGGGAAGTGTGCGAAGCGCGCGCTCGCCCGCAGCAGCACCGTCGCAGGGTATGAGTCGCAGCGCATCGGCCCGCTCGGGTCTGTACTCGAAATCGCCCGGCGCTGCTGAACTCGGCGTCGGCGGCATACACGCAGAGGCGCTCGAGGACGAGGATGACGAGGACGATGAGCATCGAGATGGTGAAGGCGACGAAGAAGCCGAGGGCAGCGATCCAGACGATATCATCGACATCACACCCAACCGTGCTGTAGCGCGAAAAGAAGCTCGCCTGAGACTGGCACGTGCAGCTTTGCCCGAACGACGGGCGTCCGGAGGCACGCTATCGACGCTCAGCATCTTTGGCGGCGGTGCTGGTGGCTCAAGTGGCGATGCAGCTCCATCCAGAAACGACGGCGGAGGCGCGCAAGGTGTCGGCGTCTTTTCCGACGAAGCGGGCAGTCCGATCGCACGCAACAACCGAGGGGAAACATCGGCAGCGCCTTTGCTCATGGTCGGCGCTTCCGACGAACCAACCAGAGCCGAGTCTGCAGCTGCGGATACATCGATGCAGTCGTCCAACTCGATGACGCTTCCATCGTCGAGCAGCACACGTACCGTATCCACCAGAGCGAGCTCGTTCAAAGATCGCAAGTTCAAGCTGCCAAAGTGGATCAAGCGTGGAAGCAAGAAGGGAAGGATGACGGACCACGATGTCTAGCTAAGATGGAGTTCTCCTTTTGACGTTTATACCCGTTCAATGAGACGAGATTCATTCATGATGCCCTTTGCATTCTCGAAGGATGAGCGTGTGTAGGAAGAGTGAGCCCTTGGACCCTGATGTCGGCTGCAGACCCGAAAAGTCGATTGCTGATCAGCGTGGAATTTGGTCCGACCTGAGCTCAGCTCAGCTTTTCTACTGCAACGGTGGCCTATCTCCGCACGCTGGCTTGTTCGCGGATTACAGGTACAAGATTCCGGCGTCTCTTTGGTTCGCTTGCGTCATCCGTCTCCTTCTGTCGGCTGGCTCGTGCCTCTTTTTCTCGTTTGCCGCTGAGCGAGGACGATCCTGGACAAATCGGATATCCCGTCATAGCACACCTCCTCCCCTTCTTTGCCCATCACATCAGATCGAATCTACGCCATTGCTTCTTCACGCAGCAAGCTCGCCTCCGTTCGCCCACCATATCGCTGTTTGCCTCTTCCAGTTCGCTACGAGTGCTACGTGCCTCGAGAGCTTCTTCGCCCTTAATCCGATCCATCAACACTGCTACCGTCTCTAACCTCATCCCATCCTCATCCCCTCGTCGTCCCGTCACCATCGCTTCCTCCACCAACTCCACTGCTGCGACTCGTCTCGCACAAACCTCAACCCACCTTTCTTCTGCCTCACCCTTCTCCACCTCGTCTTCCGCCAAGATGCCTCCTGTTGCCAAGCCTTCCTCCACCCACTATGACATGGTCGTCATCGGTGGTGGATCCGGTGCCATGGGTGTTTCGCGCCGTGCTGCGGCTTACGGCAAGAAGGTGTGCGTCATCGAAGAGGATGGTCGACTCGGTGGCACCTGCGTCAACGTAGGCTGCGTACCCAAGAAGCTCATGTGGCACGCCGCTGATATGGCAGAGCATCTCAAGGAGGCTCCCGAGTACGGATTCGGCGATGTCGTCAACAAGCCTAAAGTTCCCGGTTTCTCTTGGAACTACTTTGCCGAGAAGCGTGATGCCTACGTTCGCAGACTCAATGGTATCTACGACAAGAACCTCGACAAGGACGGCGTCGAGTATTTTTCCGGTCACGGAAAGTTGACCGGCAAGAATGAGGTCGAGGTGACCATGCGCGGTGAAGACGGAAGCTTCAACGCTGGAACCTACAAGGTCACGGGCGACAGAGTGGTGATTGCTACCGGCGGTCGACCGATCATTCCTAGCGATGACAAGATTCCAGGCGCTTCGCTCGGTATCAACTCGGATGGATTCTTCGAGCTCAAGGAACAGCCCAAACGTGTCGTCGTCGTCGGTGCTGGTTACATCGCCGTCGAGTTGGCCGGCGTCTTCAATACGCTCGGATCCGAGACGCATCTGCTCATCCGTCACGACACCTTCCTGCGTCCCTTCGACCCCATCATCTCGGAGACGCTGCAGGACTACATGTCCAAGACGGGCCTCAACGTCCACAAGCAGACCAACATCACCAAGGTCGAGGGCACAAAGGGTGGGCCGCTCACCATCCACACCGACAAGGGCGATCCCATCGAGGCCGACTGTCTCCTCTGGGCGATCGGTCGACGACCCAACACCGACAACCTTGGACTCGAGACCGCCGGAGTTGAGCTCGACAAGGCAGGCAACATCGTCGTCGACAAGTACCAGGAAACCAACGTCCCCAACGTCTTCGCCATCGGCGACATTCAGGGTAAAGCGCTGCTCACCCCCGTCGCCATCGCAGCAGGAAGGAAGCTCTCCAACCGTCTCTACTCGAACCACCCTTCGCTCAAAGACGACCACATGGACTACGACAACATCCCCACCGTCATCTTCTCCCACCCGACGTCCGGTACCGTCGGTCTGAGCGAATCGGAAGCCGTGGAAAAGTACGGCAAGGACAACGTCACGACGCACACGTCCAAGTTCACCTCGATGTACTACGGAATGTTGGAGCACAAGGCTCCGAGTGCATTCAAGATGGTCGTGGGACCGGAGGAGAGGGTGGTGGGATTGCATATTGTCGGACTGGGTGCGGATGAGATGCTGCAGGGTTTCGCCGTGGCGGTTAAGATGGGTGCCAAGGTCAAGGATTTCCAGGAGACGTGTGCCATTCACCCGACCAGTAGTGAGGAGGTGGTGACGATGGTGCCTACTACCAAGAAGGCGTAGTGCGTCTCGGTCTGCTGTGTTTGCCGTTGCGAATTTGTGATTACCCTTGATCATATATCTGCTCAATTACACATGCTTGTCACAACATCTCACATTCGCAGAGTTTACAACGTCGCAAAGTCGTCGCTGTCATCCAAAGTGGTCGTGAAATGCTAATCGTCGCGGTTCACAGGATCGCCTGTCAGGAAAACCCTCGACAGGGGTCTTCTGGATTCGTTCTTGATCCTCAGACTCTTTCGTCCGCTGAGGGTTCCGCTTGGGTTGTTCGAGAGGGTTGCGTAGGCGCTGTCCCTCGCGTGGGGGCCACGGAGGGTGGAGGAGGCGAAACGCGTTCTACCAATGGTGCCTGTGGCGGAGTGGGGTTGGGTGTCGTCTTCGAGGGGGGTTTCGAGTTCGACGGGAGGACGGGTGAAGATGCGGGAGGAGGGTTTGGTGGGTGAGGTGGAGGGTGAGGTGTCGCGCTGGGCGGCGAAGACGTTGGCGAGCTTTCGACCTGCTGCGCCAGCACGGAGTTCTTTGATCGCTTCGTCGAGCTGACCACGACCGCGGTAGGATCGACGTCCCATGTTCGGTTGCTCCTTGACCGTTGTTTCGTCCACCTTGGTTCCCGCGATCCTCGATACGGTCGGCGTAACGTCGTCCTCCTTGTCCGTCTCTTCCTTGGACCCTACGACCAGCGGTCCGCGTACCTCTGGGCCAAATTGCGGAATCTTCATCCCAAACCTTCCCTTGGCAGCAGCCGCTGCTTTCTTCTTCTGCTCTTCCACCTGCCTCTTCCGATCCGCCTGCAACGTGTCCTCCTCGGCGCGCATCAACGCCTGCCCGAAACTGCTCACCAGTCCGAAGAACTCCTCCGCCTTGGTCTGATTAGGATCCTCCCCAAAGTAGACCAACATCTTCCCCAGGCTGTCCTGCACCGTACTCCCCGCCAACTGCAGCGCCCTCACCTGCGGAGTCGACTGCCGCACAAACTCAGCCATCGTATCGACAAATCGATCGCTCTGCGAACTTATCCCGATCCTCTTCAGCATCTCCATCTCGTCCTTCACCGTCGAATGACCACCCACCAACGCCGCCACCGCCTGCATGATCGAACTCGTAGAAAGCCTAGCCGCAGCTTCTACGTGACTGCAATCGTCCAAAAACCCAACCAACCCCTTGTCCATCCCGTTCAACACCCTCACCACATAATGCAGCAGACTAGGCGTCTCTCCATTCGCCCTCACCGGCTTCGTATCCCTCAACTTCAACAGATCGCCCAGCTGGAACCCACTAGCCTCCCCCCTAAACGTAGACGTATTCAGCACGTTCCCGATCGTCAACACCGTCGACAGAACCGCCTTGAACTTGGTGCTCGCGTTGATCTCGTCCACCGCATGCTTCAGCGTCCGCAGATCCGGCTTCAACTCTTCCAGATCCATCTCGAATTTGCGCATGTAGATCATGCATCCCAAGCGTTCTGCGAGACGCGGGATGCCGAGCATCACGTGGAAGAATTGATCCGCCTTGCTCAGCGTGGAGATGTCGCCGTCGTAATCGCGCACGAGCGAAAGCTCGTCCGCAGTTGGGAGACACGACTTGATCGATTTGAGGTTGTCGATGCTGAGTTTGGACTCGTCGCACTGCAGCAGAGCTGTGCGGAGCTCGGGGAAGGACAGCTTGATTCGCGTTAGAACGATGGACACGTTTTGCGCTCGAGTGAGATCGAGAAGCGTAGTCGGGTTCGCTTTTCGGCCCGTCTGCTGGACCTCGGGCACAGGGGCGGCGGGCTTGCTCCCCATCGCAAAAAGCTCGTCCAGACGATCGATCTCGCCGGTGACGTCGACGGCCGATTTTGGCAGATCGCTCCACACGGTGCTCGTGAGCGAGTGTGCCGGCAGCTTGTTCCAGAACAGGCCCTTGCGTTTCTTTTTGGGAATCAGCGGCAACGCTGGTGGTTTGGGTGCGGTCGGCCCAGCAAGCATTGGTGGTGGCGGTGGTGGGATCGCCCCAGCGGAGAGAGGCGGTGG